CTGAGGGACAAATGCTGTTTTCTGTCATACTGAGATAAATTGAGAGGAACTCTACTGAAGTGAATAGAAGTAGCTCACATTAAAATCACCATAATGATAGAGGGGAAAAAAAACCCCGCTTATAATGGATGTTGCTGTCAAAATCTTAACTTTTTTTTTCCCCTTACTGACACAGAAATGTTTTGCTCCTTATTCCAACAATACCATTTCCAAAATGCAGGCCTCATTGTAAGGAATGAGTCCAGAAGAGTGTCCTTTGTTGGGGCCTTGCTTAAGCAAGGACTGTAGATGGCTTTTGAGTACCTCCAAGGATGGAGACTCCACAACCTCCCTAAGCAACCTGTGCCAGCGCTCAGTCACCCTCACAGTAAAAGTATTGCAGGCACAGAAATAAGAAACCTGACCCATATCTTGAAGTGACCATTACAATGATCTCCCAACACAAAAATGAGGCTGAAGGGGTCAAAATGATAATTGGCTGCATGAGAAGGGGCACAGCCACTAGAAATGGGAAAGCAGTGCTGCCCTGAGATTTTACCTGATTTTCTCTCCCCAAGTCTGGAACCAATAGTGGAGTGAAGAATGCCAAAGTGCTCCTAATGAGGGAAAAACAAGGCACAGGAGGTTTAATGATGCCTCCAACAGTGTCTGGCAATTGGCTAAGCTGATCACTCACCAAAAAGTTCATTCATAATCCATCCTGTCTGTCTTTTCACTGTGAGAGAAAGAGGATTAGGAAAAGGCTTCCAAAGGTTTTGGGCAACATGGGCAGATTTGCAGAAATCCGCAGATGCTTGGGAAGCTTTTCATGGCCAAAGGTTTGGGTTCTGCAGGGAACGACTGCGTGCAGCTGGTTCTAGTAGCTAGTAGCACCTTGCTAGGCAGGATAGAGAGGAGAGGCTGTGCTAGCTGCTCAAAGGGCCTATGCTTTCTGGCAGATCTGAGGGTGAGAAGAACTTTGCAGCAGCCTGAAGATGCGCACTATAGAGCAGTAACTTGCTCTGAGAACTGAGTTCTCTTTAACATATCCATAGCAACTCGATGAAAAGCTTTGAAGAGAAGAAATGGGCTGTGCATTTTGTTCTGCAGCACATTGCCAGGAAGATGACTGAGCTACCTGACGCCTGTTAGGAAATAGAAAATTAGTTCAGATGTGACTGTGTTTTGGTAAGGTTGCATTTTTAAGGCATAGATGTTTCACTTCTTCTCAAGCCCTCAAGCAATAAAAAGTTAGATGATCAAAAGATTATATGAAAACAAACAAACCAACCCCCTCAAAATCTGTGTGATTCCCCTCTCCCTGTGTGTTGGTTTCTGAGCCTTTAAGGTATAATTGGATCATACTTCCTGGCTTTCTCAGTACCATCCCCAAATTGCAAAAACCCTATTGACTTAAGGGGAATTGGCATTTCCTCCTTAAGCTTCTTTTTTTAGTAGTGGGGTTTGAGGTTCTCTAGTTATCCACTGGTTCCAGACCTGGGAGCTAAATGAAATGCTGTATGTCAAACCGGTGGGCAGCACTCTGTAAGCCTGCGCTTGTCTGTTTTCTTGCACACGGTTGTTAGCACGTTGATGGAGGTACTGTGTGGCCAGGATCAACCCACCAACACGGGATAGGTATTGTGTGTTGTTTTGTTTGGGTTTTCTTGCAGAAAATCAGGAAATAGAGTACTTGAGTTAGTGATAAGGTCTTTGGAAGTACTCAGTATCTCTTCAAAAAGGCCATGCAAATCCCATTTTTACCACTTTGTATTAACTGAGATGTGGTTAGGTTTCGAAGATCCAAGTTAGGTAACCAGTGTCATAATAATAAGTACCTGATTTTGCATGGGTTTATGATCCCAACTGTAAACCGTGCTTTGACTTCAGTACACGATTTCCTTATTTGTGCCAGTACTGAAAATAAGCTTGATAAATTCACTCCCTTACATGGATGAACACTATTTGGTGTATTGTGCAGACTGTACTACTGATAGTATCAGGGCTAAAAAAGCTTAGAAAAGAAGTAATGTGATTGTTATTAATTTAGGACTCACAGCAGATATAGTGAATTCATCTCATGAATTACTGTAGTTATATGCTGTATTAGTATATTGATAGTATACTGCATCTTACTCAAAGTTACATAATATTACGTTCTTCCACTTTCAAGCAGTTGATTTACCTGGAAATTCATAAACTAATGCAATAGATTTCCCCAGAATAACCATAGTGTATCTCCTTTCTTTTACCAAATGGATATATGGTTTTAGGGGACTTTAAAGCTGTGAATGTGGAACTTTTGCTGACTTCCATCAGAGGACTAGACCTAAAACTTTGCAGAATTGACCTCTTCCCAAACAATTAGAGCATTTGGTTCCACTTATTGGTTTTTAACTTTGTTCACCATCTGTATCCTAATAGTAATATATTTTTGCAACAGTTGTTAAAAAAGGAAATGTAGTAAACAGTATTTATGAAAAAAAAAATCCCCACAACCTAATATATAAATGTTGGTGGACTCTATCTTCTTTGAAATAGTCCTTAGTTTTGATTTCTCTCAACTGACTGCCCTTTTCTGACTTTGAACATTTGAGCAGTTACAGAGGGAGGCCTGTAGGTTGCTGTGCTTCAAGATACTAGTTGCTGTGGTATCCTATTTCTCCCTTGGCAGTCTTCCCTCAGTCTTTGCGTCCTTATTCACTGAGCTGGTCGTGCTGTTTGCAACCTGACTGGTAACAGTGGCCTGGAGTTGCAGTGGCAACTGGGAGGGAAGGACCTTTTAATGGTGCTGGTAGTGCTGCAGTGCTACATAATGCTCTGCATGTTCACCCAGGCAAACTTCTTTTCACAGATGTAGAGATTAATCATCTACTGGGCTTGTAGATCAATTTTATTAACAGGCACATACTGGATCATTAGTTTAGGCTTGCGGCTTGATCTCATGCTTCTGATAAGTGAAAACATTTTATAAATAATAAGTGAAAATGGGATTAAAAAATAAAAATAATACTATGAAGTATGAAAACTGTGTTGTTTAAATAAGTTAAAAGTTGGAGGAGTCATTTTTCAAAATGGCTTTTTTTCTTATTTTTGATTACTGGGGTTTTTTTTCCCTCTACATTTTAAAATCCCAGTTATTTATGCTTGGTATATAGTTTATTAGATGCTCAGCAGATAGTTTACAACTATTTTACACAGATAGTACAGTTGCAGAGGCTTGGTTTATGTGTTAGGATGTAAAACCAGAAAAATAACATACCCTACCTGTTCTTGTCAAAGCAGACTATTGGAGGGAACGAACCTTTGTTTCTGGCCGTGCAGGCACAGTGCTCATTAATGAATGGGAGCAAAGGCAGAACAACCCACCTAGCAATCCATTAATGGGGCTTTGTAGCCTTTCTGATTATGAGCAAACATCAGTAATGACCCATTAGGTTAGAAAGCTCTGCAAAAGCCATGCCTTTCTGGGCTTGCCAAAAAGAAGGCTTGTATGACATCCAGAGAGTCTGCTAACTTTCATCTGTTGGCCACTGTATCTGTTAGTGCTAGTACTTACTGCTAGCTGCTGGACAAAGATTGCTTGAATTCTCAAAAGCTGCGGAAACCAGGCCAGTGTGTTTTGTTGCTTTGTCACAAAAATGCAAATTAGGAGCAGAAGTGGGAGTCCTTAAAATTCATATACAAAGCGAGGCAGAGGAGCTGCAGTCTCTTAATACTGTGTTTCTAACAGTTCGTTACAAATGTTTCCTGCACATGTGACAAGGAATTGTAATGGGCTGTAGTTGTGGCATGAATTTGTGCTGTATTTTGATTTGAAATTCATTGCTAATTAGGTAAGTGCAGATCTGAATGCTGTAACAATAAATGGTGGCTGATTTACACATCTGGTTTAATTTTCTGTACTGAAGCAAGATGAAGCAGTTTTAAGGTTTATAGAGAAATTTTATTTACGAAGCTACTGACTTCTGTAAATGCTACCTTCTGGTTTCCTCAGAATTGGTCCATTAATGTCAGTGGAAGCTTCGTATCTCATTTATGTGGGTCTCTAGGCATGAGCATCTCCTACGAGTACTGATGATTCCCCTCAGCGCACAGTACAAGGTTTGCGTTCCCTGATGGAAGCCTCACGGCATGGCACAGCATATTACTGCTTCTGAAAACCAGCTTGTGTGTTAGCAGCACCTCGGTTGCCCGAGAGCAGCATATGAATCCCAGCTCGGTTCTCGGGGTCACCCTATTGCAGCTGATGGGGCTTAGAACATCACAGGCTTGGGTCTGGGGGTGCTGCAGGCTGGAACGTTGTTTGTTGGCAATGACCACCTTGGTGACAGGAGGTGCTTCTTAAAATTTGCTTTTTGTGTAAGGTGAGAAGGTGGAAGAAGATCCTCCCAGCTTGTGAACCGGAAAATGTTGAGCTTTTCAACAGTGGGGTTTGGCTCTTAAAATAAAATAAATAAATGCCTGGATGGGTTTAAATTGGTGAACTACTTGATACTCTGATTGTTCTGGATTATGTTCCCCGCTTAACGGTGATTAGATATTTTGTTTAAGCAAATCACCACCGGTCCCTCCCATTACGCGTTTTGTTTATTAGGAGTGAGGAAACTCTAGTAAGATTTCTATCAGATTTTCCTTACTTTTAAAGGTGGGCAGGCTTCACTAAGCGGCAGTGTTGCCAGAGGTCACAGCTATCGAAGGAAGCAAATTAACAAACAGTATGTTAATTTGTTTTCCCTGTCCTTCAGTCACAGTGAGGAGAGTCTAAATATTTCAGTGACTGAGACTTTGGATTCCCGTTCCTTGCTACACAACAACAACAACAAAAGCTATTTATAGCAATAACAGTTAGCAGCGATACAGCAGCCTCAGACAGCTATAGGCAGCGTCTCACCATGACCACAAATGTTAACTGCTTTTGCGCTGAATGCCTCTGTGAGAACAAAGAGCACTGCGAAATAAAGATCAAAGCAAAGCCAAAAAAAAGATTTTTTTATTGCTATGTTTTACTTTGCTGGCAGACCAGAGCAAAGGTTTTCTGAACATTTAAAAGATGAAAAAGGTGAAGAATCCCAGAAGCGATTTATCTTGAAGCGAGATAACTCTAGTATTGATAAAGAAGACAATCAGGTTGGTTCTCGGTTCGAGAGTTGCTGAAATTTGTTCTGTTTTTGAAGGTGGGCTGACTGATGTTATTGTTGTTCTTTTGTTGTTGCTCTCCTCCTCCCCTGCCCCCTCCCCGCCTCCTTTGGCATACGTACCACCGTGGGTAGCATCGAGCCCCAGCGTGGCCGCTTCAGCCGTGGCAGTGTGTGGGTTTGCATGGGTGGTTTGCTTGGCGCAGGACTTGCTGCATGCCCACGGGAGGGGGAATGCCGGTGGCTCCGGGCTGCGTGGAAGGCTGTGTCCGTCGCATTTCTCAATGTCTCGCCTAACTGTGGCAAGTTGTTCCGCTCCCTACAGCTTTCCCCTTCTGTTGAGCCCATTCAGAGTTGGATTTCAGTGTGGACTGATGCTAAACTGATGTAGCCCAAAAAGGAGAGAGGAAAAAACAATAAAAAAAAAAAAAAAAGCCCTAAACAAATATGTGATGGTGAGGCCAGGTAGAATTTTTTTTTTTAAAACCATCCTAAATTAAGTTTTGACCAAAAATAAGTCAGTTTCATCTTTTCGTTCCCTCCCTCCTCCTGCGCCCTCACCACCTTTTACTGTCTGTGTAACTTACTTGCTCGTTGTGCATGTGCTGTGGCAGACGTTCTCCCTTTGTGTTGCCTGTGCCATAACACTACCTTACCTTAGGTGAGCCCGAGGAGTAGGGGAGCGCCAGGGAAATGTGTGTGTTTGGGCTGCCTTTAAAAGCGGGTGTTGTGCTGTTTCGATCCAGTGCAAGCTGTGTATGTGGAATATATTAACCCAAAAAAAAAAAAAAAAATCAAAAACCGGTTCTGACGTGAATTGCTTGTATGAGAAAATTCTCACAGGTAAGAAGACAGCCTATGCTTTCTTTGCTTAGGTTACATTTGTGGAGGGACCTGCCAGTGAGTCTCTTATTGCCACTCTTCACGTTTTCAGTAAAAGACTGACTTTTCCTTTTTTTTTTTCTATTTTCACTTTTTTCCTTGACTTTGTATTTAGCAGCCTTGCCAGTTATGCTGCATCTGTGTTGGCTTTGAAAGCAAAACCCAAGCGTTTTCAGGGTGTGATGAACACAGGGATCAGACAAAGGAAAGCGGCATGATCTGTCTCACCAGATGCTTGGGGTGCTGGGGGAGAAGGAGCAGTGCTTGAAACCCAGTTGCCAGTGAAGCATTTCTTGCTGGGGGTCCTCTTCTCCCCTCTTTCCACTCACAGCACTACCATTTCCCACACTGTGGTTTACTGGGAGGCAAGAAATGGCTGTTCTTTTCCCAGTAAAACTGTAGTCAAGATTTCCTTTACTGTGTGGAAATGGTTAAAACTGTCATGCCGAGTATTTGGGGTTTCTCGTTGTACACGTAGACTTCGGTGAGCTTCTTCTAGGGTTTGCAGCTTAGCTTTTAGCACCTAGCTTCCCTCTTTTCTTCCTCGATTTCGTAGGTAGTGCAGAGTTGCCTGCCCTCCTGCTCCTCTCAGCCAGTAGGAGAGTCAGCAAATCTTAGCAGTCCAGAGCGATGGCATTTAGGCTTGGGCTGAGAACACTCGGTTTTAGGATGGCGGTTCTACAAAAGCCATGCAGAAAGCCTTGTTTCGGCCACTCGCTCTGCAAACCCTCGTGCAGTATCTTAACGGGAAACCCACAGGTGCCCAGCCTCGCAGGGCGCTTCGTGCAGAAACGACAGCTATCGTTTTCGTGTTTCATTTGTTTAAGTGAACATTTATTATTCTCAGCTGACAGTTACTTAATGGCAGTTTTTAACAGCTCAACTTATATAACCCTCCTGGTTTTCTTTCTGCTCAGCAAAACAGAATTCTTCCATTTAGAGATGACAGACGAAGTAAATCAATTGAAGAGAGAGAAGAGGAGTATCAGAGAGTGAGGGAGAGAATATTTGCACAAGATGTGAGTAGTTGTTTTAATTGCCTCTTTAGTGCCATACCTTCGCCGGTAGTCAGACAGTCTTGCCCCCCTCCCACATGAACACCGCAGCTGGACTTGCCCTGTGGAGCTGGAGGCGACAGGGAAGGGCCAGATTGGCGCCGAGGGTCCGAGAGGAGCTCGAGAGGTGCAGAGGTTGGCTTCTGGCGAAGGAGGTGACGAGAGTTGCAGGGACAAGGGTAGAGGAGAGATCAGGCCCAGCATGTTGTCTGGGGAGTGCTTATCTCATTTCTTTGAATGTTCGTCTTGGTGTGGTCTAGGTTTCCTTCTTTTTTCCTTCTCTTTTGCCAGCCAAAGGGCAGAGATTTAAATGGACACTCCCAATAATTTCAAATAGCTGTGTTATTTCTTATCTGTTTCGAGCTAGGTAAAATGTTTTAAGTGTCCTTCTGCAGAGCCTCGTCATGGTTTTGTTTCTTTGGACCAGTGCTGTAAGCACTAAGAACAAAGAAAAGCCAAAGGTTAAATGTGGAGTTGCACAGGTTTTTTTGAAATGACCAATTAGGAAACTGTGTTTCTGCCATCAGAAAGAGTCCTATTGTTGATGACTTTATTCTGAAAGGAATAAAATAAAATAGGCATTATATTTCCTGGCTTTACCAAAAAATCAGAACTTGCACAACAAGCTATATTGCTAGAGGAAAACATTTAAATATGAAACATCTGTGAGCAATATCTCATGTTCCGGAAAATGGAAGAAAATAATAATTTGCTATAATAACTGTAATGATGGTGTTCAAAAGGGGAAAAAAAGTAAAAAAAAAAAATCAACATATTGTTTTATCTCGCATATCAGCGGGAGCTCTGCCACATAGAGGAATATGGTTATAAACCCATTTAAAACTTACTGAAAATCATATTTGGCAGTGTCCTTTTAAATTAAAACTGTTCGTGTGTTGCAGGGCTAATAGTACTATTTTAGATATCCTATTTTGGTCTGGTTTTGGAGTTGCACACATCCAAGTTATTTTTCTTCAGCAGAATACATTGTATAGTTTTAAGGTGTGTGTTGTCTCATTTGTGATAAGTAATGTTGCTTTTTAATACATAGCTTGCCACATCTAAATGTTTTTAGCCTGGCTGTGTCTTTCTTGACTGAGTCCATTCCAGGAGAAGCCAAGGTCCTTCAGTTAATGTTTGGCTTTCAGCATGTGGGTCTGATGTAAATACTGTCACAGTGTATATGGCAGAGTGATCGAGGAGTTCAAGGGTTGCAAAAGCCTCTTTGCAACCTGTGTGCTATATGGAAGTTGCTGTTTCTGGCTAATTACAAAGGAGCTTGTGCAAAAGCAAACAAATTTTTGTCTTTTTAAAGTACACTTCAAATGATGCAAAAGGTTTAAAAATACCGTATGGAAAGTGGTTGCCAGAATAACGCAGTTTCTATCACAAGCAGCAGCTAGAAATGCCAGGCTGGGAAACGGAAGTGGGTGGAAAGTGTGCTGGAACTCGCTCCACAATGTGCTGCTGGTTTTATCTTTAGATCCCTCTGTTTTTAAGAGGGGCAAGCAGTGAGCACTTTAACTGCCCTCAGCAGGAGGTGGTTGTGGTCCATTGGGTTAGCATCTCTGAGTGGCAAGGCCTGAGGAACAGTGTGGTTTGTGTCAGGTGCTTGAAATGGATTGGGAGTGAGCATTTTAAAAGATCAGTAAGGTTAGGTATCTCTCCCTCTCTCTCTCATATCCACTCATTTGCTCTCCCTCCCTGCTATTGCAGGTGTTAATGAGCACTGTAGTGCAGTGAATTTCAGCAAGCTACACTAATAATATTAACAGGAATATATATGTCTTAGCTGAGCTTTTTTGTGTGGAGCACTCCTCGCAGATTTAAAGTGTTTTTGGGATGATGTCAGTAGTTGTGTTGGTGGAAAAATGTAATTTTTTTTTTAATTTTAGGAAAGAGAGCAATGACTTCATATAGATAGTATCACTGCAAGTGATACTTTATAGTTTTAAAGCCCTCTGCAATCATTAAATAATCCAATTCTCCCCAGGTTTCTCTCAGGTAGGTACCTCAACCTTGTCATCCTGCAAATTATAGATGTAGAGAGAGAGACGGGGAGGGAATAATCACGTGGTATTTTTATTATCTCTATACTGTTTACACTGCTGTAGTCAAGCCTTTATCAGTGCCTTGCTTATGAACCTTAGATAAAGGGTTATAGTTACTTCACTTTTAATTAGAGTATGCATGAAAAGAGCTTGCATGATAGGTCTCCAAAGGGCAGCTGTGAAGGTCAAGAGTACTGCCGTAACTTGTTACACCTAGCACCTCCCCTCTAAACATGTTTGAGGTACCCAAAACTGGACGGCATCTCAACCCAGGAGTCAGAATTTAGAGCAAAATATAGGAAGAAAAGGCAAGGTGAAAAATTCTATGTATGTATCAAACGCTGTAAAAAAATATCTTAACGTGGACCCCACATGTTAGCCAACGGAAAGCTTGCTTGCCCTTCCTTCGATTTTGCAGCACTCCAGTGTGCCAGATATCCTCATTTCCAAGAGGGAAGGTTTTAACGGAATAAATATGTTCATGAATAATGCCATCATTATGATAGTCCTTATGATTAGTCTGAGATTAGTCAGTTTAAATTTTACTTCCTGGCAAGTGTTCCATCTGCTGTGTTGGCTATCATAAATTTTGACAAGGGGAGCTGGAGGTTTGATGACTCCTTTCATGTGTAGAGTCATAGCAAGCGGCAGGGATTGAGAAGCATGTTAATGTGATATCTTAATAAAAGGATCGGTGAAAAAAATAAATAGTTAACAAATTCCAGCTTACTGAAATAAGAATTACAAATTGCGCTTCTAACTTCTCGGGCTGCTAGTAGTAAAACAGTGCTGCATGAGCTCTGTTATGCTCAAAGCTATTTTCAAGGTTATTTTTTCATTGCACAGCCTACAACTTTCCTTTTTAAAACATGTTTTTATTGGAAACTTAGTTTTACAACAGTTTGTGAATTTTGCAACCAAGTGTACTGGAGCAGAGGACCTGGAATATCTGGGTTTTGCAAAGTTGAACTGCTTTAGTTGCTTTTGGCGTGTTGAAAAGTAATTATCCAAGAAAAAAATTCTTTTAGATCATTCTTTGTCTAAGAGTATATGTTGTTCTTTCCCTGTGTGCTAATTCAAACTGTAGATTTAACTGAGGATCCCAAATGCGTGTGTAAATGGTACACTGCATTTGGCTTTGAAGCACACAGAAAATTAATTCTAAAGACTAGCAATCAAATTATGTGGGGGAAATTTCATTCTTCAAGGTTAATGCAATGTGTAACCTCATGAGCCAGAATCATGTAAGGCCCATCCATTGCTCATAAATGTATTTTCTAGTTACCATTGTGTTTTCAATGAAAAATGTAGATGTTTTATGACTTACACAAATGTTACAATTGCCCATGGTGCACATGGAACTTACTAAAGGAAATACACCCCATGCTTTATTTTTTGTTCTTAGTTGCAATGGCTGTTTATGACTAAGGACCGTATTCTGAAGAACCAGATCCTTTAGATAAAACAAGTCATGATTGGTCTACTTAAGAAAACACTAAGGATCTTCATCTCTGATTAAAGACTCTCACAAAAGAAATATTGGAAAAGGTGACTTCAGCCTGTCCTATCCTCCTAGTAGGAAAAGATCACGAAGAAGATTTTCTTTTAATTAATAAAACCAAAACAAAGATGTGCCCTGTGTTGCCTACCATAAAGCCGTAGTTACTAAAACTCCCCTGCTGCTGTACACAGCCTTTGTTTGTGGCTGCAGATCAAGCAATAAGCATTAGTTGGAAGCCTGAGATCTATCACATCTTGTTAACTGACATGAAAATGATTACCTGATGGCATCCACTGCAGGATATTGGTGCATGTTAATAGTTATCTATGGCTAATGTAATTAAAAACAAGAGCAGCAAACCCCAGTATACCTAGTGCACCGACAGAGCTGATGCACATTTTCTAGTTGAGACTTTAAAAGGTTCTGGGAGATTGCAAGAGTGAAATGCTCATTTCGTAAATGACAGTCATGCAGAGCACCCTACTGAAAACGTTGCACGTGGAGGTCTCTGAGAAGGTGAATTGGTAGGTAATCTTGCATAACTTCATTCCTTTTGTAGGTTTGTAGTCAGTGTCTTTAAATGTACAAGAACCAAGTGTTTTAAGAATGCCTTTTGACAACAGCTGTGCTGTGTACTTAAGCTTTCCTGGTGATTTACACTATTACTGATGCCGTAGATCAGAAAAGTGAGTCTTGTTCTTGTGGTAGCTAAATTGCTATCCAGAGCTGCTTAGCCATCTGATTTTTAACAGTAAGAATAACATAATAAAAAAGTGCCTGTCTTCTCTGCCTCTCAGCCTCACACCTATACTGAAAAGCACTTTCCAGGGATGGTGTGGCCCTGTGCCAGCATTATCAGCCAGGAAGACAAATGGAGTTATTACAGACTTTGTCTCTAAGTCTACAGTGCAGTTGATAGTGGTTCCCATCAAGACACTGAAAAGGAGCAGACCTCTTCACTTACTAGATAAACTGTACATCCCATACATTTGTTTTGCTTTATTCCCCAGTGTCTTAAAAAACCTGAAAAAATAAAATAAAAATCCAGACAGGTACATGCCCCTTTGCTTTTGTAACTTTGTGGGGTCACAAACCAGTACTCTGATCTGAGCAAAGGGTTTTACTCGCTTGTTCTGGAAGCATAGCTCTAACGCCGCGATGGCAATGCGACTGAAGTGACATCAACACACAAATGCCTATGATGAACCTGAGAGTGAAGACACAGCCCCACAGTTGAGGGTGGTACAAGCCCTTGGGGCGATTTCACTGTGCTCATAGGTAGTTAGGCTCTGCTGACATCTCCACAGCCACGTTTGTTAATGAAACCTTGTGAGTTAGGTAGATGAAAAGTAGAGGCAGTGTTGTAGTTGTACAGAGGATCCCAGTAGTTTTAGGTGGAACTGTTGGTGTCTCCTCTCAGCCTGGGGTGAAATCCTAGGTGTGCTGTAGATGGTGGGAATTTGGTCCCTGGCAAAGAACTCACTCCTGATATCCTGATACTTTGTGTTAAGGAGAGACTCACTTGTGTGTTTAGTTGGAGCGCAGGCTGGGAACTCACCTGCGAAGCCCGCAGAGCTGTCAGATGTTCCCAGATGTGTACGCTGGGTGGGCAAATTACAGCTTTAATGAGAAACGGCATTCCCTTCACAGGGCTAAATGCATTCCTTGTGTAAATTGGTGGGATGGCACTGGCTGTGGTGCCAAGGGAAAACTTTGCCCGTACGTCTGCTGGAGCGCTGGGAATGAGCAGGGTGTTGCTTCTAGTGTTGGTCAGCGCTCTTTGAGTAGGTCATTAGCTCACCCTTTCCAAAACAGAAACATCCTAAATCCATGCATACTGTTAAAATTTGACACAGCTGATGATGGCATTGCCTTATTCTTTGAGCTGATTCCTTCTTGTTGCAGAAGTAATGGGCACAATCTCTGGTGCCCTCCTCGCTTTGCCTGCCTTTTGTTTAAATTCAGTGCAAGTACTGACTGTCTTTTCTTATATACCTCATGGAGATATAATCCAGTGACAGCTACGAGGCACTCCGTGTAGTGAACATGAAATAGGAGGGAAATGAAAAAATCAAAGTGGGAGAATTATTCATGGGAAATTGAGCACAGCTTCATTTCTCTGTATAAAAAATTAAGTAACACTAAAAGAATTATACACTTGCCAATAGGATTTATTTCTTCCGACCCCTTCACATTTCTTGGTATCCAAGTCCTCCAGTAGAGAACTTCTTTGCAACAGGTTATTATTGTTGTTAATATTATTATTAAGATGATTATCATAATTTTATATCTCAATGCAGGTATGACTGTTTCCTCTCCAACTGTAAAATGTGAAATCACATAGTATTTCCAAGTACTGCAGTATTTTCTCTCCCTTTGAAGAACTTTGTCAATTCTGCATGCTTTCCTTCTGTTTGTCCTTCCCACTTGCAGCTCTGTGCTATCTTGCAATCTTATTTTGACATGATAGGGCAGACCAGTGGAACCTCGTATTACGCAGGAAAAACGTTTTTCCCCTTTCAATTGCCAGTATTTTGCACATACCGACGCCTTCTGATCTCAGAACTGAGAAGTTTCAGTTTGTTTCCAAACTGAGACCCTGTGTTGGCAATGTGTTGTAATGCATGGAATTTATTTTACTGGCTTGACCTTATTCTTGACCTTTCTTCCCTCTTGTCTTCTGCAAATGCAAATGATGCATGAATTGAAATCCCCTTAAGCCTGAACAGGGGAGATAATTCTAAAATCAAGGAAGGAATTGGAACAGCAGAGCATATTTAGAACGTCTGATACAATGCCTTTTTTATTTTTCAGTCAGTTTGCTCCCAGGAAAACCTTTTTGTGGAAAACAGGTAAAAATAGCTTTTTTTTTTTTTTGTGTTAAACTTAGCTGTTTCTCTCTCTTCTTTTGTCTATCTATACCTCCATAGTTGTTTATCCTAATGCAAAGGCTGTTGAGCAAATTTATAATCCATATTACCTGCAGCGTTTTCCTGCTTTAAGGGGGTGGGGGAAGAGCTTGCCTTGCAGTATTGTATGTGAGCAGATAAGGTGTTATTGCTGCTTTCCCAGGACTTTGCATTGCAGTTTAAAAAGCAGACCGAGGTGCAGGGGGGCAGAACTCACCTAATGTTTCATTTCAGATGCTCAAACCTGTTTCTGGAGTGCCTTTAGAATTTATTTAAGCACTCCAGGTGGCTGGATGATGGCATTTAGAGGCACCATGCTTGGGTCTCTCTTGTTTAACCAGCTCTGCTGTGGGTCTGAACGGCAGCACTTGTTCCTTGTGAAGGCTCACAAGTCCCTCAGACCAGACCTGCTTCACTGCTATGTTGTAGTAATGAAATGGTGGTATCTGAGCCAACTGTTACTTTGCATTACTGTGTGATGGTTCTTATGGATGTTGGTTTTATCATACTAAATCCATTTAAAGCAAAGGGAAAAAGAAACTCTGCCTTAACTAAAATCTACAAACTACGAAGTCTTAGCTCCGTAGCAGCCGTAAGTTGGCTTTGCTGTGTTGAAGATCTTAGAAATGCTGCACCTTTGTGGCAGATAAGGATTCTAACCAAAATACCAAGAAATTTCCTGGTGAGTGTTTGAGCTAGCCCAAGTCTGTCCTGTGCAGGTTTTAAAACAGTTAATCTCCCCTTCTTAAAGGGGATGATAATATTTCACGGTATTTCCATTTCTGTCAATCTTTACATCTCTCAGATGCATTTATGGGTAAGGCTGTTCCTGTGGAAAATGACTCCACACTAAAGGTACAAACTAGGTTTTCCGATGGACAGTCCTGAAAGTGGCATGAGGGAAGTCCCTTGGGAGGTAATGGCCACTGTCACCTAACCACCTCCTGTTCTGGGAGCCAAGGATATTTCCTCAGCTGCTTCTTTTGTGTCATGAATATGGAGATAACGATTCATCAGAATAATTAAAATATGCCTCAGAGGAACCAAAAAGGCAAAATGATGATGCTCCCATAAAACTACTTTGACCTATCTGGAGACAACGGGACAATGAATGTGACGTAGTTGTACACATTCCCAAGTCACTGTGGAAAGTACTCAGCGCTGCTGAGGGTAGAGCTGGGGACCTTTATGGGATACCACATGAGCTTCACAGCCAGACCTCCACTGATTTATGCATTCAGTCCCATGCCTGCCTGCAGAAGAATGTGGCCAGTTCTGGTCTTAGCACTTGATTCACTTTGCTCAAACCCGTGAGCTGTCTGACCAGCTTTCCCAGGGTGAGGATGCATACCCAAGTGGAGACCAGGACAAGGCCAGGTTGGAAACTGGGCTTCTCTTACGGTTGTTGTCAGGAGGGAGGCTTCAGCTGCATTCCTCAGAACGCTGCTTTTTCTTGCTGCATGCCTTACATATAGCCTTTGATCAGGTGAAGCACTTAAACTCATATTTAGCTCCATGCATGTGAGCAGCCGTGTTGATTTGCTGTGTCAAAAATTAGGTACCTGTTTAAGTGCTTTGCCTTTCTTTTTCATCAGAGAACCTGAGCGTTTCTCTGAGCTGCAGAGATTTTTCAAGCAAGTTAGCAAATGCTTAAAATTATATATGCAGTATTTTGCTGGCTTGCACTTTTTATGTTCATATTAGGTGATATTTTTATGAATTTTCTTTTGGATGTAGATGTATGGTTCCTTGGCTTCTGAGAATTACCTTGCTTAGTAACAGGAAATGTTAAATGGCCTTCAGCCTCCCTGGCTGACATTTCTTATGTTCAGTTGACTGTGTACAGTTGGAGGGGGCAGGCAATTTTAGCCTTGGTTTGTTGTGTTTTTTTCCTTAAACGATGAATCTCGCACAAGTTGGAAGATGTTGCTAGATATTAAAATGAGCTTTACAGATGAGATAAATTTGAATTATTGTGCCTGTTACCATAAACTTTCTTTTTATTTTTCAGTAGGCTGTTGGACGACACTAGTATATGCAGTGATACCCATAAGAAAAGACAGCTGTTTAGGTTTGTATGACTTCATTTAATATTCTCTTCCCAGTAACTCTCACATGTGATTCTATCCATTGCCTTGTGGAGGGAGACCTGGAGGCATGTCAGTATGTCATTTTTCTGTCTGGAAAGCAGCATGGAGAACAGAGTTCTTACCTCGCTCATCCCATGCTCTCAGAATGGGGAAGTCACAATAGGACCCTTTCCTTTGGTTTTAGGGATCATTGGCTCAGGAACCATATGAGATTTTTCAGCTGCCCAGTCTGCCACAATTTAGGGGTTGCTGACCTTTTTTCCTTTTGTTTGTTTATTAAAAGCTGAAGTAAAAGTATGGTCAAGTGAAAGTGATTGAAGCTCCCTTATCTAAAGCAGAAATGTTTTGAAATATTTTCTCTGTGAACCTTATCCTCCAAACTCCAATTTCTTCTGCCCAGAGAACATTCAGATGTATCCTGTATCCCAAATTGCATCCCAAGCCACAGGGCATCGGTGGGAGTCAGTCCCTGTTTTCACAGAAAACTTTTTTATCAGTTGGCACACTGGATCAGTGGAAGACCCAACGTGGTGGTGACAGTGTTTCTTCCTCTGAGAGACTTAGAAAGGTGCTCTTCCCCTACCCTGAGCTCCCACAGGTTCAGTTCAAATCAACCAGAGTGGAGCATGCCAAGCTGCTATTCAAGTCGGTCAGTCTTAAGCAGAGCAGGCAGAAGGGATGGATGCTTTCAGAAGCGTGTCCTTCATCCAGTAAGGCATGTGGATAGATAGGCAGAAGTAGGGTAATCTCTAGATGCCATATGCATTGGGGTTTGCATATATAACAGGGATGATGTTGCTTCAAGCCTATATCATATACATTGCATAATTCTTTGTTATGAGGAGAAAGGGATGCGGGATTATTTGACGTGTGGTTGCTGTCTGCATGTCAGCACAGCAGCCACGGGGGAGATGGCAAGACTGTACCAGGTAAGGCGCAGCGCTGGAGCATCTGGAGCTGCTGTCCCATGGCCACAGGCAGCAGGCAGAAAAGCTTTTCTCCATGCTTTGAGCTAGCCTTGATGATCTGAAAGTCTTTGCTTAGGCATGGAGGAGTAAGGAAACATCTGACGCACAGAGACTCTTAATAACTATTGTCTGTTTGCGTTTGGGGAACAAAAAGGATTTTTGTGTACTCCAAAACCACAGGTAACTGGAGTATAAAAACATTCTGTTTCTCTCTGTCTTTTCCACTAGAATATAAATCTAAGGAAATTCTTAATTTGTAAGAACAGGAATGCAAAAGAATCTGTAAATTACATAGTTTTGTCTTTTCTTTCCAGTTAAATCTTAAGGACAATTTATTTTTAAAAACTTTTTCCTTTTTTTATGTTGTTGCTTCTGTGATGTTTCTCTTCACGCTTTCCCAGTATCTGGGTCTAGCAAAGGTCAGTGGGTTAATACTGCTGATCACATCATCCATAAGAGGCTGTGATCACAGGCAAGGAACACACCAGCTTGATCCCATCTTTGACACGCTGCTCCTTTGTGTCCCAGTTGGCAGAGCTTGGCAGGTTCTCCAAATAAAAAGCAGGAGCTATGTTTGCAAGGAGGAAGGGGTCCAGAAAACAAACAAACAAACAAAAAAACCAAACCCACCCACAAACCATAAAACATACAACCCACCAACAAAACCCAAACAAAAAACCACCATCTCATCTTCTTGATTAGTACAAAGTGCTTTGAGCCTGCTTCGTGCTGTAAAATAAGACAGAAGGGTCGAAAATGTCTTATAAAAGCCTTCCAAAAGCCAGTGTTATTAACATCACTTGGGATAACAGCTGTGGTTCACCATGCTGTCGTAGGCATGCTGGTTTGGTCATTTTAGCAGCACACTGCAAGCCGTTCACCATAAATAAGCCAAATTCTGCTCTGTTTTCCACTGACAGTTAACGGTGGCGTCATGCACAGAACACTGGGTGCTCTGCAAATGTTCAGGGACAGACAGTCTCTACCCAGAGATGTTCGAAATCAGTGTATGTAGAGGGCTAAAAAACCCTACCTGGTGGGTTTCTTAACTGGACCATTAGCACTGAAGAGTATGGGGTCACGCTGGGAGGACACATGTTTAGGGTGAAAGCTTCAGGTGATTTTGCAGAGCAGGTGATGAGTAAGGACAAGGTGCAATAAAAATGAAGAGGGTGGATATGAAGACAAAAGTAGAAGGTGAAGTTATTGAGAAAAATCTTATAGGTGATGGACAGCCAACGGAGAGGTTAGCAAGGACTTTGCTGAGGGAGGAGACCAGTCAACAGAAATGCTAAGTCCTTGATACGTAATATTGCTACATCAGCCCGGTCTGGTGAAGTGTTCTTAGTATATATGTGAAAGGAGGGCAGCGGTAAGTGCTGTGCATGTAAAAGGGTATAGCAATGTTTACTTGCTGAAGGCAGATGAGTATCTGGGTCAGATCCCTTCTTTCAGGCATGGTTTCATAAATGCAGAGTATTTCCTTTTTCTTTGTTAGGCTTGCTGCAGGGTAACCAAAGATATAAATTGCCCTGATGTGGTTTTGTTTGTATATAAATCTTTTGTCTCCTGATGTCCGTAGGGGTAACAGAGACAGCACGGGGAAGGCATCTGGCAGTCGGCAGAGCAGTACGGAGAATGAATTGAAGTGGACAGACCACCAGAGGCCATGGAGCAGCACAGACTCAGACAGCTCAAATCGAAATTTGAAGCCAGCCATAACAAAAACAGCCAGTTTTGGAGGTATAACCGTCCTGACAAGGGGAGATAGCTCGTCAAGTAACAGAAGTACCGGCAAACTGTCTAAAACAGGTAGCTAGTACTGTATTGGGTTCACAGTACTTTTTGTTGTGCAGTGATATAACGCTGTACTGGTACTTGTCTGAGTGTGGTATATCACAGAATGGTTTGGATTGGAAGGGACCTTCAGAGATCATCCAGTTCAATCCCCGTGGGTGGAATATATGGTGAATTACTGAAACAGTTGTATTCCCTGTGGATAGCAGATGTGTATATCCATCTAGGTACATCAGTATCTGGATACCTGACACTGAGTTTTGGGGAATTAAGAAGAAAACTTGGTGCCTGAAGTTTGCAAATTGTAGGTGAGGTAGGCTTTTCCTGGAGTAAAATAGGTGTGCCTCCTATTTGAACACTACACTTGTTGCCTGGAAAGGTGGTAGTCCTTTCAGACAAAGCACAGAGTTTACCTTTTTATTCATCTTTCTTGAATCACGAAGAATTAAATGTTGTGTATCTGATGAGAAATCCAAGAACATTTTGTTGTCATTGCTAAAATGCAAACCATCTGTATCTTGGACTACAGCCTCTCCCTCGCTGCTGGCAGACAAGGCAGTGCGCATTCAGGATTCACAAAGTCCTGCAGTCTGTTAGTTTTCTTGTTTAGTTCCCATTAAATAAAAGCATCATTTAAGGGAACTATGAACCTGGTGGGAATTCTGCATTTATTTGTGTTAACTTCACAGGTACATTAACATATAAGTGAGCCACAGGGTCTGGATCTAAGTAATTTCAAGCCATGCCATTAAGCTACTCTGGGGTTTTTTTGTTGTTGTTGGGGTTTTTTTGGTTCTTTTTGTGTAAAAGTGCATAATAAATACTGAGTCCATCAGATGATTCCATCACTTTGCTTCATTTGATAAATATAGTACAGGACAAGTGGTAATCAATAGTTAGCACTTAGTGCTTTTTCAGTTTTAGAGTGTTTTATGGACAGTACTTAATTTAAAGCCAGTTTATCAAACCTGGGTTGGTCAGATTTCACTCTTATTCCCAAAATTGTATGGCAGTCTTTGCTGTGATTCAGGATGCTGGGGAATTGACTTTGTAACTACATTTGGACCTCCAGATCTTGACACAGTTAAAAATTTTGTTATATTTCACAGCTGGAAAGGAACCCGCTGGTTGGAAAGCTGCTTGGGAGCTTTTGGAATGTCCTGCTTTCTTTTTCCTTAATGCTTCTATTCTATGTTTCTTTTGAGACCCCAGACAAATGTTGGTTTTCTTAAGATCCATAGAATCCTTGAACGTCTCAAGTTAGAATGGAACCATAAGGATCCCTTCCCAAGATAAGATCCTCCTTCAGTTTTATTCCATCCTTATGTATGTAAAAATCTATGAAATTAAGACATGAAATTGACTTTGAAAATTACTACAGTATAGTTGTTTACTTCTGGCTTGTTCCTGCATATGCAACATAGTAAAACCGGTTTGTAGTTCTCAAACTACACTCCTGTATTTTTTTTATTGTGTAAAGGCTGAATAGTCTATACAGTGGAGCGTGAAGTATGCAATAGACAATGGTTTTGCCTCCAGATTTCTTTGCCTCCTGTGAATCTTTCCATTGCCTCAGAATTCAATTTGATATGTATGAATTAGAGAGGAGGCACAGATTCCTGGCATATTTTTGTCATATCATTCACCTTTGGTAGAGTGCAGGTAAATGTATTTCTCTGCAGCTTTGTATTGCAGAGATGCAGAGCATTTAAAACAGTGTTGGGGAAATCCTGTTTGGAGGGTTGAGACATGTAATTGCAAGAGAGTAATACTCTTAGTGTTAAAATCAACCGTATTAAAGGGTGCACTTAAAAAGTGTATCGAAAGAGAGATCTCTGAAGCTTGCCAATACTTGTAAATCAATCTGCAGTCTGTATGCACCAAACCCAAAATTGCTTTCAAATGAAAGCTCTTATAAATATTTTGAAAAAATCAGTGATATTAAAATTCCATGTTATTTGCAGAGCAATTACAGCTTGTATGTGCTTTTAAATTTTTTTAAGCAAAATGTTTAAATTTGAAAGCTTTTTGAATACAGAAAGAGTAAAAAAGAAACAAAACAAAAGAAGAGGTGGGGAAAAAGAGCAAGGCTGGATGTCAAAGCTAAGGTACACCTTGGAAGCCAGGACACAAAGTCAAACTGTCAGTCTGGCTGAAGAAAGTCAAGGAAAAAAAATACCTGCATCTCTATTTCTATCTTTCTCTCAAAAATGTTAGTGAATGGCATTAAACCAGAAAAGAATGACTGTTCAAAAAAATAATGGGGAAACATGCTCGATCAATGTCCCTTCACCAAAAAATGCTGAGCGCATTCATGCAGGCGTCAGGCCCCCCACACACACTATTTGCATATGTATTCCGAGGTACCTTAGGTACTGAGCGACACTTCGTTGTGCACGTTTTGCATTCGACCTTAATCATCCTGTAATCCAGTCATCGGCAGCACTGGGCATTCTGTAGTTCAGTACGCACCTAAAGGTCGATCGTCCTTTTATTTTGGGGGATTTTGTTTATTTTCCGTTGCCTTTACTACAGGGATTGAAATGTGATTGCAGAGGTGTAACTACAGGTGTCAAGCACACTGCCCTGGTAGTGTGGCAGAGCCTGGTAGGCACCAATTCTGTCCTGTTTCTCCTCTTCTGCAGAAAGTACTAGACTCTTCTCTGGAGTACTTTATCAATCACAGTAATAAAATATTTTTGCCTGGCATATAGTATGTATGAAATCAATCTGAAGTTATTAGTTGGTCAATGTGTTCTTCATTGGCTGAATGATGGAAGACTTTTGTGACCATTTTAAACGTGAAAACTATTCTACATATATGACATTAATCCAGAAACATTGTCAAACATGTTATTGAGCGTGGAAATACTAAGACTTAAGGATATTCACTGGTGTCTCTCAGCTGCATTTGGAAGTGTATATGGTGATGAAATATTAGCACTAGCTTTTCTGGATCATTTTTAATACTGTCACCAAAATTAAATGTTGTGCCCTTAACCTTAACTTCTGATAAATCAGTAATTAATGGATCATCACAAACAAACCAAAGCACGGAAAGATGTTAGCCTCCCCTTAGGCAAAGACAGATTGTAGAGTGTTCTGGTCTCCACAGTAGAGTCCAGTAATGCCAATTAGTCTTGGACTTTAATTTCATTCAGCTGCATGGGAATTAGCACTTAGCAAAGGAATTACGTTACTTCATTCTTGCAAACTTCACAAAAGGGACTGTTTGAAACCACAACATGATTATCTTACTGGTTCTGATGGTTATTTTCACATATCTGTTGATTTTTTTAGAAAGCCTGGTTCCACTAAAACCACAGATTGTATATTGCAAATAACATTTTCTGCTCTGTTTTTCTGAAGCTTAGTAGATATATAGAGATCTATTAAGGTATAATTCAGTATTGAGTGGAGAGTTGTTAATTGCAATCAGATTGCATTCCTACAATTTAGGACGTTATGTAAAACATTGGTTAGTTTAGATTTCCGGTAATAGAGTACACTTCCCAGGGTTGACCAAACATGTATAGTAAGCCAAATAGATGTCCCTGTAGGCATCAAAGATGTACCTGTTCAGTCTCTAACCTATGAAGACAAAATCTAGCTTATCAACTACCACGGTATTTTCACTGATGCATTACGACAGGTTTTAATATACATTGTTGGGAAGAAAGGCAAGAAGTGTTTCAAAGACTAGTCCTCTCTGTGTTTACATTTCCATTTAAATAATGGTTGGAAGACTTGAAAGATGTAACTGTTGCATATTTAGTTTCTCATAATGCATTTCCATTCAGTGGAATGCACAGGTGTTCGAGCTTATTTCTTTTCCCCCCATTTACGAAAACCTGGCTGCACTGGGGTATCGGCTGTATGGATACAGATCTGCAGGAATCATTAACTTCCTTGGCGGGGCTCCAGGTAATCGGAGCCACAGTCTAACCTCTCCTGTTAGGTGCTCCTTGTTACTCCTGTTGGGCAAAGATGATTATACTGCAGGCATTTCAATACATTGACCTCTTTTTTGTGGTAAAGTGTCCTGGAAATTATAATTTTTCTTTTGAGTTTCAGAACTGATTTCTGCTTCTTTTTCTTAATTAGGCATTAGCCTGATGGATCTTGTGAGTCTGAGAAAAACAGTAGGAATGTTGATGTATGGGCAATAAATCATGAGCCAACTGCTTCCAGTCATGCGCTTCCCGCCAACCAACTGTGCTGAAACATCAATCTTATTTTTAGAAGTGCAACTTGCAGAGGAATGATCGTGTTCACATGAACACATACCATTATTATTAATAAAACCCAAACAACAAAAAAACCCCAACCACCACCAACAAAAAACCTACCAACACATGCCCAAAACCCCGAACAGTGTAATAATCAAAAATGCAAGTGACATAAAAGTATCAAATAAATATTCCTAAGCCAAGAAACTTTATCCAAGACAAAATTACTTCCAAGGGTGATCAGTAATGTACAGCTCCTAAAAAAAAAAATTGACTGTCTGGAGCAAGTAGTGGGTAGCTCTTGAGAGTCCAGTTGATAAGAAGGAAAAAATTTACCTCAGATGTGGAAGGTGGGATGAACAAAGATGTTCAAATTCATCAGATACTGAATGCTGACCCACAGAAAATAGAGCAAGACATGTGTCGCTCACTAGCAGTCAGGATATTGGAAAATTAATAGTACTTTCACACCCCCCCTAGGCTATTAAGAGTCTGTGGTGATTTTTCTGTCTCTCTTTTTACCACTCTTTGAACTGCTGTATCTCTGAGAATACTTTAAAAATACATTAATGGAAAGTGATGAGAATATGAAGGTTATTATTACGTCAGCTGTGAAACAGCAGGAAAATTATAGAAGAATCTAGAAGAAATAGCCATCATGACATACTGAAGAAAAGAGGTTGGGATTGTGTAATGGGGGCAAAAATCTCATTTAGTCAAAGTTCCTTTCAGAAGTCTTTAGCAAGACATCTCTTAATGTGAATCTGAATAAAGTCAGATAGTTCCTTTTTTTTATGTGCTACAGTACTGAATTCATTATGTGGTGATTTTATTCCAAATTTAGACACCGTGAAAACAGCTAATCAGAGCTACAAAGACAAGATTAATTGGTGTTAATTTCCAAACATTAGTCTTGGAACTTACTTGGCTTAGTATGTCTAGACTTAAAACGATAGGAAATAAGTTGTAGTGATTAAAAAAAAAAAAGAATTTAAATTGATCATTCTTATACCAGATAAATGAGGACAAAATTGGTTAAGTAGTAATTTCTTGGGGTTTAGTTTTTTTTTCATATTAGGAAAATTGCTGAAATGATTTTGTGTCTTAGCTGTGTTCTCTCAAAATCACCAGCTTGATCTACTGTCAGGGGAGAGCAGATCTCTGATCCTTTAAGGCAGGCATTTCAAAGCCTTGGCCAATGTGTGGTGATGGCTCCCAAGGTGGTTCCACTGCTTCTGCCCACGATTTGATGAGTACATCTGGATTCATTGCAGTTTTCTGGCTTTTAACATTCAGGAGCTGGTCTGTGATTCTGCCATGAAACCAGCTGAAAGGTGGAAAAGAAAAAACAATTGAATGTCAGAGCTGCAACCTTTTATGCTCACAATGTTTCTTCAGAATAGCACAAAATCAAGAGAGAGGTCTGAACTAAGGCTTGGTGGTACTTCCATGCTTAGAAATAATACTGTGAAGTTCATGAAATCTCATCATCGTTCCTGCATCTCCAGGTAGCTTTCGAACCCATTGAATTCAAAAAGTGATGGAAAAGAGGAGAAAGTAAAGCAGGAACTTGGAGAAGCAGCATCAAGTGCATGTAGAAGGGCCAGAGAAATGCAGGAAAGGACCCAGTAACTGCTGTAGAAAGAAGACAAAACTCGTAAAGTTGCATTTACATTTGGGAGGAAGATGCCAAGTACTGCTTGCAGCTTGATGAGGATGACCTCTGGGAATATCTCTGAAATTTCTAGAAACACTGAAATCTGAAATGACTCAATTAAAAAAAAAAATACTATCCCTTCAGGAATAATCTTTCTAAATTTTCAACCTCTTTCTACAAGGAGACGAAGAAAATGTAGCAACTAATAAAATTTTGAAGTGTATTTATAGAAATAAAAAATTTCTTCTGAAATCTCCATTACTTTCTTGATTAGATGTTGGAGAAGCAGATTTAGAGTCCTGATGGCAAATAGTGCACAGTTCATAAAGAGTCTCTGTAGTAGCTGCCGTATGGATATGAAGTTTGAAGAAGATGGATAAAAATGTTTTACACAGCAATCCTCAGGAATCTGTGCAAAGACCCTCTATTTGATAAGTAACAGAATGCTGGTGCAGTTTCTTCCGAGGAAGCCTATTTTGCTCTGCTTATGGGGAAATAAATGGGTTCCAATATGGATTTGACTGAAAATGAATCCGAGGTTCTAAGCAGTCTACTGCAGGGTCCTCCTGCAGTATCCCAAATATGAAGGGATGTAATATGCCCTCCAAGAAAGATATTTGCTAAAACCTAAGTCTGAGTTTGAGGGCACTAAGGAGGTTAGTAATTAATGTAAGATAAACAGATAATGCACAGAAGTAAAATAAAAGAAATTGCAGTTAAAATATACTTATTTTGGGGAGGAAGAGTCTATATAGGCATTTTCTTTCACATCTCATTTGTGTTTGCCTTAATGTCTAGCTCTAAGGAAGCTATTCATCTCAGCCTTACACTCTCAGTGGCTCTTGTCATTTTTACAGGAAGCCAAATGAAATCTAATTAAGTAAAATCTCAGGAAAGTTTGGAAATTATATTCATTTTTTAAAATAATGCAACTCCCCATCCTTCCAGGCGCAAATGTGGTTTAGCACATTAGATTTATCTTGATTGATCAATTTTAATAAACTAGGTGCTAAAAAAGTCAAATAGGCAAAAGTCTTGGGTAGCTTTAAGTTAATACAAATATGTCACAGCTACCTTATTACTTGACTGACAACCCAGGGTTGGGGTTTTGTGTGTGGTGGTGGTTTGTTGGGTTTTTTTTATTATTTTTTCTTTTCCATTTATGTACCCTGTGTTTAGGTTTTAGACCTCATGAGCCAATAATTTGGCAGTGTAAATACATGCTGAGCATTTTGTGTTCTGCTTGATAAAGCTATCTACTGGCTGGGGGGAAGCTGACATTGCAGGAGGAAAGTGACTTTTTGAATTGGGGAAATACCACAGGACACTGAGCTGAGTAGGGCATGAAAACCCCACTCCTACCAGGTGGACATGGACTAGTGTTTGCATTTACAGTCTGCGAAGGTTGTCCTTGTGTATGTGCCGTGTCTAATGGGGACTGGTGTCCCTTGTAACCCACCCCATTGCTGTTTTGTCTCTCTATTAGGCTCAGAGTCTTCCAGCAGCGCTGGCTCCTCAGGATCGCTGTCACGAATACATCAGCCTCTCCAAAGTGCATCTCTTGTCCCTGGGGTGACAGCCAGCTCTTCAGGCAACGTGTCCTACCCTGAGAATGGGATGAGTGGCCAGGTGGCCCCCAGCAACACCAGCTATATTATTCTTCCACTTGAAGCTGCAGGGATACCGCCGGGCAGCATCCTTCTCAACCCGCACACAGGTCAGTACAATGCTCTTCTGCCTGGTACTGCCCTTCAGTGTTGCTGACGTCATTGAGGGAACTGGCAAATTTCTTGTTTCTGGAGATATTTTCCTGGAGTCTGTTTATGAGGAAGCAAACAGCAAATGCCATTTGGCAGGTGGCTTTTTCAAGTCTGCAGAGAAAGCTGGGTTAGCTTTTTGAGGCTGTTGTGGCACAGCCAGTGCGAAGTGATAAAAAACATTCTCGTGTGGTCCCAGACAAGATAGTCATCTTGTAAAGTCCTGGCACTCCTTGTCTGTGAACCCTCTGAGATCCTGTTAGCTTCAGTGAGGACAGATACTCTTCTGTATCGAGCATGCTGAGATACGGTGCCACTAAAATAACATTGTCAGTATCTTAGAGATTGTGCTTAACAGCAGAATTTCAAAAGGCTTAAAGGCTCCATTTGAATTAACCCGTCAGAGTTTGTTTTGTTAGGTGAGCTGTATGACTAGTAATTGTATATAAATCCAAAGTTTTGTGATAGAGAAGATTGTAATCTCTTCAGTTCTTGGTAGTTAGCAGCCCTGCAGCGCACAAACGAGGCATCCACGGTCACCCAAGCTCTGTGGGCACTTCAGAAACCACTCAGCTTGAACTTGAGTGCTTGCTGAAAATCTAAGGCAATTTGTTAGCTCCTTGGTCCAGATGAAGTCCAGATCACGTTACGCTATTAGTCCTCAAAGTATTGTACTGAGAGCGTTAAAAAACTTCAGGGAGGTTGAGACTGTGATGCTTCTTCAGTGATCTGGACTATTTCAGTGACCATGACTAGCTGTGCTGTCAACCTTAGCTGAGTTATGCTGGGTTTGAAATAGCAAAGCCTACAGTGAAATGTATTTTCCATTATACTGGGAGCTGAGAGTTGAACTCCAGCATATTTTTTTTTTTCAAGGTCCTTAACAGAACATTCAGGAGCTTTTTATTTGGGGATTTTTGTTTATAACTAGTATTTTATGTATATTATGCCCTTGTGTTCCAATATTTTGGTGCAAACGCATAAAGCTTATTTATGAGGCTACTGCTAAAAATATATCTTTTTCTTTTGGTCAGAATTCAGTCAAGAAAAACTGAAAGTTGCGGCATTTAAGAAAAACAGCCTTGACAAACTATTAAACCAAGCTTTCCACAGATATTTAGAGATAGTAGTATCTGGGGCTGATCATTATACGTCAGTGTATATAAAATCAGGGAGGAGTTCTTGTTTGGTTATATTTAAATGTGATAAGTTCTTTCCAGAGGAGTGACTTAGTAACTTGCACAAACTTGCATTTTTCTAAAACCTTTACTATTTAGGTGTACTTTTTTCAAGTTGTTACAATATTGACATGAGAGCATAATACTGTCAGCATAAATGGGGGTTTTGGACATTTCTTTAAAACTCAGTTAGGGGACAGGACAGAATGGGATGTAAGCAGAAGACAAAACCCATCGTTATTAATTTACTCATTTCTGTTGTTCTGGTAGCTAAGAGAAACATCTCCTACATTTGTTCTGTCAGTTTAGCAATTTGTAGCAGGTAGCTCGTATTTTTCCCTGGTATCCAGGGAGTCTCTTTCTGCTATAGGTATAATCTCTAGTAATACTGAAAGGCCAGAGCACCTCTTCTTCCCTTCTAGCATGCCTCATTGTCTGCAGAGGCATCATTGAGAGCTCTGTGTGTGTTGGTACATTTAACATTCAAGGAGCAAGTCATTTTGTGTGTATATATATAGATAGATATATAATTTTGTGGGTTTTTCAAACTAGGAGTTTTGTTTCTGTAGCTCCACTGTAAATACCTACATAGTAAAGAAAACAGAGGGAGCAGGTTCTTTTAAAGACTGAAATTCTTGTCTCAAATATATTGCTTCACGCTGCTATCTGTGTTGGAAGTCAGGCTATACCGCAGCGTCCACTGTGTTTTTAGCATGCAGCAAAATACATGCTGCAAATTTTGCCAGCCTTTGGGCTCTGGATCTGTGCATCTTATTAGAGTAACATTACAAAAGAAGCTCCGTAGGGAGGAGACTTGGATTGCTGGATGCTGTGATCAACTATCAAAGTGATGGATGCTGTCAGAAACACAGATGAAGAGAAGACAGTTTAAAGAAAAGGAAAAAGGAGCTTTGTTTCCTGAAATGAATAGATTTTCTTTCCCTGTGTATCACCATTCTTTAGCTCTTTCTTCTCCTCTTGCAGAGTGGCTACTTCCAATCTTTTTCTCTTTTTTTGATCATAACGCCGTGTGCTTTAAAGCTCTTTGCTTCCTTTCACACTACACAGTCACTGACTGCGCAAGCCTCTAATGGCATCCACAGATGCTGTCAGTGTCTCCCTGCTTGATTATACCTCTCAGCGCCTCCTCAGGTATTGGCAGCCTACACTTTCTGTGCCATATCTGCAGTTTCCTTTGTTTCCTTGCCTCTGCTTTACTGTTCTCCTTCCCCAGACAGGGAAGCTTCTTGGTTGCTTTGGGAAAGGACCATTTATGTGGCTGTGCTGTTTTACTCTCCATTTCACCAGTCTGTTTTACCCTTTAAAGGACTCCTCTTGTCACATTCTCTGATTAATCCCTTTGACAATTTAAGTGCATTTACGTTTCATTCTTACTCCTTTAAATGACACCGCAATCTTTGCCCTTCTATCAGGGCCACAGTTCATAACTTACAAATGTCTTCCCTGTTACCATCTGATCTTTCCTTTTCATTTCTTATTTCAAGATTTCTTCATGAAAGGTCTTTTTTTTTTTTTCTTCCCCCACCGCTCCCCACCCCCCCATCTTTAAAAGCTTTGCTGGACCTTTCTCTTTCAGTTTTGTTATCCTTCACTGAGCCAGGGGAAATGTTCTTTATGGCTTCTTTGAGCATCTGGCACAGGCTTTGGGAGCTTGTTGTTCCACTCACCCAGTCTGACTTCCCCAGTCTCCTAAAGTACTTTTGGAACTTGAGACTCCCTAATCTAGGGACTCCATGCCATTGTCACCCAGTGTGTTCAGAGCACGAAGCAGAAGATCAGCCAGTGCACAGAACTGCTCTGTGCTTCGCTTCTGCTCACTCTAATCATGAGATTTCTCACTGTGAGTGTGAGACATGCCCAGTATAATATGGCAACTTCATCCAGAAAGTCTGACCATGATTAATAAGAGGGAGGAACTGAAAGGCTGACGAATAGATAGAAGAGGTAGAAATGCTTGTGGTATACAGATCAGAAGTTTGATATTTGGCTCTTGCTCTCGATCACTGAATTCCTCCAGATGTCCAGTTTTATCTCTGATATTCATACTTTAGTTACCTGCCTCTAATGTTATCACTTCGTTGTTAAAATCCCTTTTTTTCTAATGGAAACATCTGTAGCTGCTTCGGCATATGAACTTATAAAGAAGTGAAAAAAGAACTGAGGCCATGGAAAACCTTTTAGCCTGCAGATGAATACCATTTCTTTTTAGTTTGTAAGACAATGACGTGGTTAAATGGGGGGGTCTTGTGTTTTGGGTTTTTTTTTGGTTTGGTTTGGTTTGGGTTTTTTTGTTAACATACATTGCTTTTGCAAGGTTACTTCCCCAGCTAAAATATCTGAAGTAGAGTTCAGTCTGCAGTAGAGTTCAGCTACCTAGTAGAACTTCGGACAGAATTTATCCCGAATATAAGAGATTTCCAAAGATATCTTCAGTGTTTCTTCTGTGATATCTTTCAGTGCTGCCTCCTCTGATTACTTCAGGGGACAGCTCTCAAAAGTACAACACTGTTGTTAGAATGTATAAATAAATTAGTAAGGGGTGGGTTTGTGGGGTTTTTTTTTTCTTTTCCATACAATCTACAGTGTGTCAGAGGTAGTTATGTACATTTGACTGCTATTGCATAGCAATAAAATGTACATGAATGTTCTCTGCCTCCAGGCTTTGCTCCAGAATTCAATTTTAATATTAATTGATTCATCATTGAATGACTTCAAGTAACCATAGCACCTGAATCATCATGGTAACTTTTCACCCATTCCTTGGAAATGGCTGCAAAACAGATACCTGCAGCCTGCCTTGCCTGAAAAAAAGATTGAGTAGATGACTGATACTGTAATGAGGCATCGAGACTGATGAACACTTTACTGTTGTAGGAGGTCATCTAAAGATCGAGCAGTGAAAACAAGGCTGTATGTTTTCGCACAGAAAACAGGATGTTCAACAAAGGCAGGGTGTTTTGTTTCAGGCCAACCATTTGTAAATCCTGATGGGACACCGGCAATATACAATCCTCCCAGTGGCCAGCAGACGATGAGGAGCCAGATGGTGGGACAGTCTCAGCAGCAGCCTTCATCCCAGCAGCCTCAGCAGGTTCAACAGCCACAGCAGCAAATGGCAAGTCACCTTGTCACACAGGTAGGTGTGGTGGTCGTTGGAAAAAGAGAAGCAGCTCTCAGGGACACGAAGGATGACCCTAAAGGGTAGGAGGGAAGGATGCAGCTAGACAAAGTATCAGGCTGTTCTTTTCTTTTGAAAGAAATGGGGTCCGTGATCTGTATTTTCAATGTGAACAAAATGGATGGAGAGGGAAGATCCCTTTCTCAATTCCATCTGAAGGATGGTTTCATTTTGAAAGGGACTTAAGCTCTCTCTCCGAAGAGCTGGGGACCTTATCCTGTCTCTTTCGACAGCAGTGGGCTTGAGTCAAAGGATAAAGTGGGTGTTGTGTCACTTTATGATTTGGCACAGTTTCATCCCAGGTTACCCAGAAATACAGTGTTTAGATTCAGTGAAGTTGCTTTGATTTTACTCGGTTTGGATTTACATGTTTGTGGCTCTTACTTCTTGATTTGGTCTTAGCAGTTTTAGAAGACGGAGTTAGTACCAAACCTGAGTAAGACTCAAGTTAAATGAGAGATTAAAAGGAAAGAAATAATACAGCTATTCCAAGGTAATGGTGCTGTAGAAAATTGTTCTTTTCCTTAGATAAACATCTGCTCCAAGTTGACGGGCCTGTCTGTTGATAATTCACAGCCTGTTTTTGTCAATTTCTGTTTTGGCTGTTGTGTTCTGTCAAAGCAGCTTTACAGTCATTATTCCTATGCCGTGACACACTCAGAGTTAAATCAGTCATTATCAGCAAAATTCAAATATACACTTATATTGTGCTGTTCTCCCATTTTATCTCTGTAAATTAAATGTAGACTCATAATTTGGCATTGCCTCGCATCAGTAATAAGAAGGTGTAGCTGTGGCTTTATTTAATCTAACAGCCATCAAATATATGAAAATAGAAAAATCAGTAATAAAGCATTGTTTGGTGTAAGCTAAAATGAAGACCAAAATCACACTACCTGACCTCTTGCACTTGGCTGGCGATGAGTCACCTGCATTTTCAGAGCTGTGTTTGAGACCTTTTTTCTCAGTAACAGAGGTCATGGTGGTGGTTGTTCTCTCTCTCTCTAATTAGGTTGTATTTATTGTCTTTCACTGTGTTTATTTTGCAGCCTGTTCAGGCGATGCAGCCATCTTCCCAGTCTGTCCAATATCCAGCAGTTTCTTATCCTCCTCAGCATCTCCTGCCAGTCTCTCCAACACAGCAGTTTTCTGTGGTACCAAAGATTTTTTTGTTTGTTTGTTTGTTTGTTTTGTTTTCTTGAAGTTGGGTGTGTGAGCATGAGTATGCCCGAGAGCCTCTGGGGAACACTGCACGGGCTGTCCCATGTGAGAGCCCCATCTAAATCCCTGTTTGCCTTAACGCTTTTGGTACTGACAGAATTTTGTGAGGGTGTTCTTACTGATTCTGGTTATCCAACCTGGAGGATGATGTTAGGGGCAAGGCACTCTGCCTGCTTAGCAGAGCCTCCTGAAAAAATGTTTTGCTTTACCTCTGATAGGAGCTTGTGTTTCCCCACCTTATGTCAAGGGAGCTTAAATTGCTAACCAGGTTATTTGAGATTTAGGTTATCCCTCTTCTATGTCCACAAAGACTGGAGAAGAGACCTCTCAGAATCATTATTTTTATTTTATATTATTTTATTTGTATACTAAGTCCACTGCCTGGATTTATTCCCTGATGATACCAGAGCACGTGGAAAACAGAGTCGCAGTGAACCAGCTGCAGAAGGTGTGGCATGCTATGCATGATGACAAAGCACCAATGCACATGTATAATAAAAATAAATAGAGAGCTCTTCTGGAGCCTGAATCTGGCTTGGTGCTTACAGGGCTACGATTATACTGTTGTAAAATGAAGCTGATATTTTAACAGGCGCTACAAGATTTTTTTTTTTCTGTTACTTTCTCTCTTGCTCTGGTTATCTTGTTTATGACTGATTTTTTTCCTAAGGTAGAGATGTCACATAGTTTGCAGTCATTTACTATCCAGGTAACGAATATCCTAGCTTTTTAAAGAGACAACTTCAGATGGACAACTTGTGTGCCTGAATAGGGATGTAGGATAATGGTACACTTAACATTAACCTGAAGATGTGCCAGGAGTGTTTAAGGTGTTGGCCCATAGTGTCTGCTCTTAAGAGTGAGAGGGTGAGTCCCTGTGCAGTCTCAGGCAGGGCTTTCCACAAACAAACTTTTTTTTTTTTTCCTGTTTTGAAGTTTCCTGCCAATAAACACACTGTACAGGATGGTTTTGTAGAATGAACCCAACAGGGATGCGAACAAAATCAAAGAGGCTCCTTTCAGAAAATAGGATGGATGTTCTAAGTGCAAAGCATTTTTACAGTGCTGATTCCCTACCCGTGAAGGGGTATAAGGAAGGGATCGTAAACTGCGCATTAGCGCACGATGGAGTTGTATGCTAGATTCATTGCTGTATAGGGGAAGTTTTAATGTTGAGTATTTAAAAGTGTTATGATACGGGCACATATGAAGATGCACAGAACCACGTTTGTAAATCTTCGACCTTCACAGAATAAACTTGAGAGCATTGATTAATATGGATCTTTTTGCAAGACTGAGCAGATACTGTCTAGAATCCTTGTAGCATTGCCAGCATGTAATGAGAGCTAGGTCTATTGACTTTATTTTGTACATTCATCCTACCATAAATTCTGCCCCCACCTCCAGTCAAATAAAGTACTTGTTTCTTTCTAACACTGAATAAAAAGCCTTGTAGTAGCAACTGAAGGCTTAGCTTTTTTTTTTTTTTACCTTCATTATGTTTACTACCTTAGATTTTCAAAACACTCTAAGAAGGAAAAGGTCTGCACCTGAATCTTACTAAATTCCTCTTGGGATTGTTTTGAAACACAAGTGAGATTACCAGCATGGGTTTGACTGAGGAATTCTGTATTTGAGGGAAGAGGTATTCATAACGTTGTTTTCATGCCCTTTATATTTAAAATGTCTTCTTTTGAACACTGTAAAGTTCACTTGTCATTTTGGAACAGAAAGGGGGGGAGGGGGCAGGGTAAAAGCCAAAATAATTGGCTTTTATGCCAAAAGGTGCCATTCACCTTGCAGTCTGGAAGCCTTTGTCAAAGCATTTATAGTGATTTTCGTTTTAACTGTCTCCATTTTTGTAGATACCCGTGCAAAGTTTGGCACATATTTGAGCTGAGTGACTCCTTTCCCCCCCCCATGCTCTGTTTAGAACCTATTTTGTCTTGCTAATTTGCGTGCCATTATGTCTACATCATTTTCTACTGCCTTTTGCCCTGCAGAGAGATGACATGACAACACAGTTTAACCAGATGAGCTTAAGTCGTCAATCATCAGGAGACAATCCCGAATCGCCTTCCGGTCCTGTCTACCCATCGCCTATCCTGCAGCAGCCTGCCCAGCAGACGGGTTACATCATGGCTTCCCCCAGTCAGCAGCTTCCCCCGGGAAGCTTCACAGGTTCAGGGCCACCAGTATCCCAGCAAGTGCTGCAGCCACCGCCCCAGGGCTTTGTGCAACAGCCACCACCACCTGCTCAGGTAGGCAAAACCTTCTCTTCCTCCTGCTGCTGGTTTACCATTGTGTTCGTTATAGCATCGGAGAGAGAATACAAAAAAAACCCTATCCAAATTCTAGATTATTTGTTTTTTCCTTTCAGTAAAAGCTTAGCAGATTTTTAGGCAGCAGGAAACTTGCAAAGCCTCTATTGTTTCCTGGGTTTCAGCAATTCCTTCCTTATCCTCAAACTACTTTCCGAACATATGTTCCTACTCCAGGACACATCTGCACATGAATATGAAAGAAGAGTGTGAGCAAATATCTGTAGTCCTTTTTTCCTGTATGTATACAAAAAGAGCAACATGCACATCAGCCCAAGTAGTCATTAATCATATTTAATTGACTTGAACATGTGAGATGTCACAGATCAGTAATTTTAACTGTCTTCCTGAAGACTGATTATGTTTTACTGTTCACTACCAAACATCTCTACTTGTCTCTTGGGTACCTTTCAGAATATTGGAAGTGATTACTGTCAAGAAGTAAAACGCACAGATGACTTTCTGGCCCATTTTCAAGGCATCCACTTTAAAAAGCTAAATTTCTTTATCCAATTATAGATAACTTCATTTAAACTCTGCTTTAAAATGGTATTAGTATTATTTATCCTGTTTTCATTTTATCCTTTGAAAGAAAATATATAAAAAACAAACATTAAAAAACCTTCACCATTTCTTTTAATGAAAAGTAGTGTAAACTCTACTGTTTTTTTCGTTGGCTGCTCCTTACTGAAAATGTCCAATTGTGTCTGTTAATGGGATTCTGTATTGCCATAGTAATGAAGAATTTATACTGTTATAATGTTTTAAGTGGGCTAGAGATCTAGTTAATTAGATAACTAATTAACAATAAAATCTGAAGACTGCTAGATGCTCACATCCCATAGAGGACTGTGACACACAGTTTCTGTAGTTACAAACTATGCAGCCATTTTTTCTGAGAGAAGGCTTGCAAAAAAATAATTTTTAAGGAGCAGAAGTTCAGTATAGTGTGACTTTTTTTAAATTCAAAATATTTCTAGAAAAATATTTCCCTGTTTGCCAAATGTAGCATGAAAAAAAAAAAAAAAGGGGGGGGGGTTGTGTGGAAACAACCTGAAATGCAAAATGCCCTGATGAATCCCTGTCCCCATCTAGGCTGCGTCTCCTAAGTGAGTGAGTAGAGACTGTCCAGGCTTCTCTCCTCATGTACAATCCCCCAGTGCCCTCTGTGTTTTCAAGCATCATTTAATCAAACCTTACAACACTTCTAGTGAACCAGATAAATGCAAGCACCTCCATGTTACAAGCTGTCACCGCAGCAGGCGAAGCAATGTATTTCCCAGCCCTGCCAGAAGGGGTTTGCTGTGGGAGCTAAGTGGGCTGCAGCATGGTGGTTTAACCCCAGCCAGCAGCTAAGCACCACACAGCCACTCGCTCATCTTCATCTCCCCCCACCCGCAGTGGGATGAGGGAGAGAATTGGAGGAAAAGGCAAGAAAACTCGTGGGTTGAGATAAGTTTAATAATTGAAAATAAATGAAATAAAACAATGGTACTAAGAATACTAACTGTACTACTAATAATATCAGTGCTAAGGATAATATGTAATGAAAATGCTACTACTAGTAATAATAGTATGTAATTAAAATAATAGAAAAATCCCAAATAATGCAACTGCTCACCACTCACCAACCAAAGCCCAGCCAGGCTCTGAGCCAGGAAACCCAAAGACAGAGCCCAAGATACAGAGCCCCAGCCAACTGTCCCCAGCTTATATACTTTGCATGACATTGTATGCCATGAAATGTCCCTTTGGTCAGTTCAGGTCAGCTGTCCGGGCTGTGTTCCCTCCCGGCTTCTGGTAGAGAAGAAGCTGGAACACAGGGGCAATATCAGAAACTGAAAAAAATGCTTGGCTTGATATAAACATCACTTGGCAAGAACTAAAACCAGCAGTTTGTTGTCCATGTTTTTCTCGGTGCAAATCCAAAGTATAACTTCATGCTAAAACCATATTACCAAGATTCTCCTTAGCGCAAACCCAAAACACACAGCCTCGTACTAGCTACTGTGAGGAACATTAACTCTGTCCTAACCAAAACCAGCATGATTGTGCTGCCTGCTGTGGTGAGGGACCCTGTGCTGCCTCTCCTCCCCACTCAGGTGACGCCAGCTTTGCAGCCCACCCAGGGGTCTCTGCTAGACCCACCCCCCCATCAGTTGACTTTGCAGAGGCTGTTTCTGTGGGAGTGCCTGCAGCTTCTGCCTGTGTGGGGCTGAGCCTTCATCACCTTCACCACCAGGAACATGGGATTTTGCCCTTGCGTGTGCCTCAGGGTTCGGGATTTTCACTTAGTCTGACATCGTGTTCCTTTGTGAAGCTGTTTTCCCTCATTAATATTTTCTCTGGTGCTACTGGAGAGGCAGATGAACTTCTTCAGAGGACAAATGATGAGGAGGAGCCTTTCCGTATATGGGATGTTGTAGGACCAGTACTGTACTGGTGTGTCTAATGGCCACTATGTCTCTGTCCCTACTTTCAAACATGGTATGTACGGGCACTTTCCTCCTACGGTGTAACAAAGGGAAAAGTTACCGAGGGCAGAAAAATATCTTCTGGGTTTGCAGCAACTTCAGCTCTTCCACTGGGGAATGGTTTGTCCTATGGGGCTGCAGAAAGGTGAGAAATTCAGCGCTGTCAGCTTCCTCTGCTCCGCGTGCACCATTCATCTCTAGCTTGTCACTATTCCAAAACAACCCTTGTCAGATACCTGTGTGGAAAAGGGCCAGGGGGAGGGGGCATCAGTCCTTATGTTGTGAAAGCGCAGTGACCTTGGTCTGCTGGGAGGGAGAGGGGACGCAGCAGCCTGCGTCCACATGCGCAGGTGGGAACTTCTGATGGACATTTCAAGTTATGATTCATTTTCTTCAGCCCTGGAATATTGCAGAGTGTTTTGGATACTACTTGTAGCATGTATATGGCAAACAGGGGATCTCTTTTATGAAAAGATGAGCAAAGCATTAGGAAAGAGTAATTCCTCAGCCCTAACAGTTCAGCAGCTCTCTGGGCAGGGCAGCTAGCTCCCGACTCTCTGTCCTGCCTGTGGCAAAACTTCACCATGGTACTGACTGTTGGCAATCTGTTGCTGTTTTGGGCTTAGATGCAATAGTGAAGCTGCTCTCTGATGCCAAAGCAGGTGGTCTGAGGCAGGCTTAAAAAAAAAAAGAAAAAAAGGGGCAATAAAAATGGTAATGCATGCAAAGCATTATGTGATGCATTAATCAGTGTTGTGCAATCAATGTAAAAGCACTTTTATATCTTAAATGTTGCTATTGAATTTATAGCAATAAAAAAGAGGCTTGACTCTAATGGCTAATTAGTTCCTCTAAATGCATTGCTGATAAGATTTTAGTAGGTTGGCTATGGGGCCCTGTGTGCTGCTGGAAAATATCACAGTAAGGAAAACTTGGGAGAAGGTCCTGTGAATATGATCTCTTCCTTTGGGAACAGAATGAAGAGAAAGAAATGTTTCCAAGCCTACAAACCCGAAGGTACTGCATTTAAAGTATTAACTTTTGTATTCAAGTTCAATTAACCATGGCTCTACAGCTGCCTCTGTAGAGTTCTCTCTCCCCATCTGTATCGCAGCAGAAGCAGACTGTTTTAAATGCCACACCTAAAAAGTTGTGAGAGGACTCCTTGCATTCCTTTTGCTGTTTCTTTCATCGCAGCTGTTCCCCAGCTTGACAACAGAGTTGTAATTTAATAACCTGAAAATAATGACCTGTCTTCGTTCGGCCAACTGGAAGAAAAAAACAAACAAACAACAGAAAACACACCAAACCCAACCATTAGTCTGGGTTTGCTGAAAGAGACTTTTAGCAGTAAATTCCTGTTTGCTTTCTGTGTCACGAAGAGCAAACATACATCTTTAGTTTCTGTTTTCTTCTATTTTCAGTTTTCCTCTCATTGGGGAGAGGAAAAGTTCCTCTCACTGGGGCTTGTCATTGTTCTGCCTCTGCAAGAGAAGAAATGGGAAAACTGTGATTACTATGGCAATAGGAAAGCATACCCTCCCTTTGAAGTTATTTACACCTCTGACTCATTCTCTGTACTGGCAAAATAAAGTCCAAAAATGAGATGGCATGAATTCTTGGAGACTTTCAGAGAAGTAATGCACATGTTGAAGGATTTGTCATCCAAATTATTATTGTGTCATTATTAATTTTAGCTGTCTTTGCAGAAGCCCCCACCTAGATTGTCCACAGCTACCATAAGAAAATCTTTATTCATAGCATGTCACCTCTAGGAAACTTGTTATAACTGGGGAGTCACTGCAAGTGAGTGGTTGATCTCGGAAGGTGTCATTGGAGGACATGCCTGCAGTTGTTGAACACAGGACAGTATATTTTGTTACTGTGATTATTATGGAGGATGCAGTCAAAGAAGAGAAAAATCTTGGAAGAATGATTCATCCCAGTTAGGTAATGGGAAGAAATGGTGTCCATACATCACTGTGGTTTCTGTTGTCTTCACTTCAATTTAAGCAGCTGTAGTTGCCATTAGCAGCAGTGTCAGCATCGCTAATCATCTGGATGAAGGAAGTAATCCATATATAACTGTACACCATCAATGTTAAGAGAAGGTGGAATATCTGTTGATGGCAGAATCAAGTTGTAAGTCAGGAGGGAGATAGGTTAGGAAAGTAAAATCAACATGTGTGGAAATCTTATTCCTACCATGTGGAAATAAGCAACATACCTGTGAATTTAAGGGATGCTGTTGGAGAGCAGTCCAAGGGAGACCCAGCCTGGTAATGGGTTTCAAATTGTATCTGGATAGAACAAAGAAGAAAGCCAATGCTGTGTTGAGTCTCTACCCATCGCCTAGAGACAAAGCACATCTGAAGGCAGAAATGGTCACCCTACAAACAAGGAAGGTATTCACCTTCAAAATAAGGATATCCATGGGGGTAAGAATCATCTCTCAACTGTTTTAATGATAATTATTAAAGAGGGGAGATTTCTTAGTGTCAGCAATTAAGATCAAGAAACAATGCTTTTAGACTAAAGAAGGCAGCATTTATTTAGGTTATGGTCTTAGAAGGGCATTGCTTTTTAACTTTTTTTTTTCTCATAATCCTATAGTAACTGTGTTGGCATGCTTGTCAGTGTAGTGGAAACTTCGTGGTTCTGGAAATGAAATATGTTATACTAGAGGAAGGTCCAAGTTTAGATGGTGTGTTCACAGTGGTAAAGCAATTCAAATATGTTGGTGTACCAGTAAGCTACAACAAAATGTATTGTTTTTTACTGAAGAGCATATAATCAGAGGTGTTAGTAACACTGGTGTAATGAGAAACTAAAAAATTCAGGAGGGTTTGAATAGACGGTTGTAAGTGATACTTGTTATCTCTGATCCCTCTAATTCCACTGTTCACTACAGTAATATCAGAAAGGACAAATAACATGTTTCAGCTACTGGCACAAAGGTGTACTCAAGATAAATGAAAATGGACCCTTCCAGACCCTTGAACCACCGAAGACCTATTTCATCCATGCCTACATTTTACACCGAGCCTTTCTTTTAATGTCTGGTGCCTTTAAAAAAAAGCCAAAATAACCCTCACATGCCCCCACTCCCAAAAAAGAAAAGCCACCAAAAAAATACCCCACTCCAAACAAAAAAAACCCCAAACAAAACCAAAACCCAGCAAATTGGAAAAAAACTAGTAACTCTTCTTTGCAAGTCATGTGTGCATGATTACTAGCAAATTCATCCATTAATCCTTCTAAATGAAATTATTTTCTTAGGCAATAGTCCTACTACTTACATTTTTCAAGCTGATAGATCACAGTCTGGTAAGCTTCTAAATGGTGTATAAAACAAATGTATTCCAATGAATTGAGAAAATGAGAAAAAGGGAGAAAAATCTTTGACTAACTCTGAGGTGTTATTTCTGTGATAAAAATAAATAAATATTTCCGAATTACTCTGAATGCTTCAGTGTATGTATATGTTTTTTTGTCAAGCAGGTTCAACTATAAACCTCACTTCAAAACCTATACTCTGTAGGCTATGTTTTAAAGTTAAAAACTACAGACTCATTCCTCCAGAGGTAATTTGCATTGTTCTTGTGCTCCTGTATTTTCAAATATCTGGGGGCTTGTCTGCGCTAGGAAAATGAGGAAGTTGAGGATAAATAAATTTAAATCCTTTAAGTGAGATTAAGCTGCAGCCAGGAGAAGTGAGAGTATGTCCAGAGGGGTTTAATATTCTTTAATTTGTAGAATATAGTTACTGAAAATAAAGAATATTTGAGAGGATGTCTACTCTGTTCCCCTGCTCCAAGGCAGGATCAACTATTTACATTAACTTCCTTAGGCTGAGTCTTCTCATTTCTTTGAAGTCTCCTGTTGCAGAGGTTTCCACAACAGGAGTGTATCACACTAAACTCACCTGATCTCTTGTTTACAAAGCTATAATGTTTAAAGAGTGATTTTCGCACCTTAAATGTATGTGCCAACTTTCCTATACCTTGTGGCTTTTCTCTGCAGAGAAACAAATTCATCATGATTTTCTCCATTTTACAGAGGCATCTTGCTTTAGTTACTTAGGGGTGAGTGAAGGAAAAGAACCAAATAATTTCCATTGATTGAAGAGAAAATGAATAGATCTTGAAGAATGTATTGAACCTTTTGGTTGACAGGTGATATTAACTGTCACTTGGTCTGGCGATTTCGCTTCAACATGCCTGAGTCCTGTTTTGTTGATCCTGATTCTTTTCCCACCACTGTTACCCATTCAGTAGTCTTCTGCTTGCCAACTGAACCATCCATACCCTCTTCTTGCCTAGTCTCTTGTATCTGTGCCTGTTCTTTTTCATCTGACATTATCTCAAGGAAAATTTCTGATCTCTCTTACAATGTCCCAGTAGTTAACACAAGGATGCAGTTATCTCTACTCTGCTATTGCTTTATGGAATGGTCAAGCTGAATAAGCTATTCCAGAAACATTTCCTCTGTGCAAATAAAAGTGGCAAAACCAGTTCTTATGTTCATATGGAAAAAAAAAAAAACCAACAAAAACATTTGGTATGACTTTGTGCATATTTCTGTGTAGGATAAATGCTACACACACAGAGAAATATGTATGATTTATAAAGAAATGATAACAGGTGTGGCAGAATTCACGAGAGAAGCAACGTTCTCCCAAGCCTATGTCCGTCTGTAGTTTATTGATACCATACACTGCTGAACTCTGTCAGGTACCTACAGCATCCACTGCAGCTGAAAATGAAAAAAAATTGAGTTCTTTGATTTTTCCAATGGTCAACTGAAAACTGTTTATCTCAAATGTCTTGTTAATGGTGGTATAGCATGTATAGGAAAATTCTTTAGCTCCAGTCAACCTCAAACTTCCATGTTCACCCTGCGTGATAAGGTGATATAGTACATGTTGCACTATAATGACAATAATAATAGAAAAAAGAAGCCCACCTAGCAGAACCTGCTGACTCAATGCGTACCCTCAGCTCCTGCAAGAAAACAACTATGATTGTTTTTTGAACTGTAATCGTATTCACAGCAAGCCTGAGAGAGGCTTTACAGAGGAACATTCATGTAGGGAAGGACGTAGCTGTTAAAACAAAAGCATGAATTTAATCTTTGTTACAGGCATTGTGGGCACACGCACTCTGTCATTCGTTTGGTCTCACCTCTCTGTACTTTTACTCCAGGCCATTCTTTGCTTTGAATTGACCATTTTCTCCACAGTTCACTCGATAGTTCACATGCTGCCTATAAGTATTATGTTGCTATGACAGGTGGTGCTTTCATCTGTGTTTCTGCAGCATTTGATATTTTACTGTGTCTTCTTTGTTACGTGTATGTAGCTTTTTATGCATTCTGCATATATTTGTCTCTTTCAATGACGATTCTTTTTCTTCTGTTTCTTAAAGTATCTGAGAAGAAATTTGGGCACTGGTAGACCTTTTCCTGGAAAAGCTGAAAGCAAGCAGCAGTTCTTGAAGAGACACAATGCAAGCCTGTCCTCTTGCTTGCTGTTACCACTAATATGCTTTACTTTACCTCTTGTTCCCCTTCCAGTTTTGTTTTATTTTATGCATTTTTGAGCTTTGGAGTCCGTAGTTAGCTTCTGTTATCTTTCTTTCCAGATGCCAGTGTATTATTACCCATCTGGTCAGTACCCTACCTCAACAACTCAGCCGTACAGACCCATTGCCTCAGTTCAGTACAGTGCACAGCGGAGTCAACAGATCCCACAGACTGCACAGCAAGCAGGTATTTACATCTGTTACTCCTTCAGCTGCTCACAGTGCCTTTGATGGTGAAACCTGTTGGTTGTGGTTTCATATTGAATTTGAACGGCAGAGGAGAAAGCTGGCTGCTGTTCCGTTTGAAAAATATGGTGAAAATTGCAAATTGAGAAACCCTTTGTTTGGAGATACCGAGCAATGTATGAGTGGGGGTTGCGTTCCCCACCGCTGTCCTGCGTGCAGTGCCATGTCCTCGGCGTCCATGCCCCATGTGATGATGAGACACAGAGAGGGTTGGGAGGGAACTGGTGTGAACAGTCACACTGCCCACTCAAGCAACCCATTGCAGTTTGTCCTTCGTCATGCAAACTCCAGCTCTACGCAGTGGACAGGTTTGCAGCGATGCAGAAGGCGCCAGTCGTGCTCCATCACCTTCTACTCTCCCAGAGCCCCAGGAGCAGCAAGGTGGTCCATACGGTCAGTGCTCCTGGGGAACAGCTCCCGCAGAGATGTGCAGCTGGAAGGGGGGCCGTTACACTGTAAGAGAGTGAGTAGCAGGTCTCACAGTGAACCGGTCTCTTTTCCTGCTGTGTCATGCCACTCCTGATGACACCGGAGCACGAGGGGTGTAGGCAGAGGCGTGCTGGGGGTTGCGCTCCTGAAAGGGTCCTCACATCTCAAGGGAATAAACAGTTCTGGTTTCGGAGATTTTTGTTGTTGATTATCTCTCTTCAGTGCACAACTCTCCTTGTGGTGTGTCTCAAACAGTAACTCCTAGGTGTTTCCCAGTAGGGTTTGCAATTACAGAAGTGCCAGGCAGGACAAAGCATTCATCTTTCTGTCTGAGTCTAGCAGAACCCCTTCTGAATGCCAGAGCAGGTTCCCTGCAGAGGCATCCATACGGGTCTTTTTTAAGATGCAAGTCAAGAGCCCAGATGTGAACAAGACTTACAGTGTCATTCAGCCGTCAGCCTGTCTTTGTAATGTGGCTGCTGGCAGGTTTGTTCACACTCTCTCAGGCCTCAGGGAGACAAAGACACAGCAAACATACCTATGTAACTAAGCAAGTGATTACTTTTTTTTTTTTTTAAGTTGTTCTATGTTCTAATAAAATTGGTGGTGTTTTGGTCAGTGTCAGCGGTGGCTGACTGTGCCTGCATTCGTACCTTTGTATTTATACATTCCCAAGGGAGGAAAGGGTGAGATATTGCACAAAGGTCATTTGTCTCTTCTAACTTCTGCCTGAGAGTCTGGTACCATATTTATTATCTCTATATAGTGAGTCTTTGAAACCTAAGTGCAAATCAACTTGGATGACGTTATCTAGATCTACTGTGTTGCTGTAAAACCGTATTTATCAGTTTAATGTTACATCCATAGCACAGTGGAGATTATGGGAAATGAAGTGCACAAGAGGTCTGAAGCATTTGACTGATGTTCTGGAGAAAATCCAGCTGTTTGATCTTGATGAAATCCGAGTTTTGAAAATGCAGTGTAGCACAGGAGCTGTTATGTTTGAGTGCAGACAATGCATGGATGCAAATGCTAATTTTGTTTCTGTTTCTTGCACCGTTTTCCTTTCATGTTTGGAAAACATTAGTCAAGGAGTTTGTGTAAAATCTCTAACAAGTCAGTCTTTTCCTGCAATTCGCTCTTTCAGCTGCCTACTCAGTTGGAAACATGATTCTTATCTCTTGTTTCAAAATGCAAACATTGTAACTAAGAGTTAGACTCCCTGCGGTGGGGATGATTTTAAGCATTTAGCTGTTCTCAGATCTTGAGACTTGGCTGGGAACAGATTCCTCAAGGTGGTTCATCCCTTTGGGCTCAGATACGCCCTGTCCCACAGGAGTTGTCAGAGCGTGTGATAGACATGCCAGGAAGCAGCTTGTAGTTTCCTATGGATCTTTTCTTGGGTATGATGTAAGGATTGTTTGAATTTATATTTCACTGCATCCCTTGGCATTTGGAAAACAACTGGCTTTCCAAAATGTCACGTAATTTCTACTAAACTAAAAGAGAAATTAAAGTAGAGGAAAGGGTATTGTTTGTGCTACAGATTTACTGCAGGTGGTTCACTGTAAGCTCTGAGACACCAAAAAACCCAAATTATTTGGTGATAGTTTCAAGTGGCTTTGTGCCCAGTGTCGCTGCATCTGCTTTTCTTCGATTGGCCTCCCCACACGCGTAGAGTTTGTTCTTCCTGCGCCCTCAGCCCATCTGCAAAATCCTCATCTCTTGGCTCCTCTTTGATGGCCAGTAGCTGCTTGCTGGGCAGGATGCCGCAGCAGATTGACTGGTGGCAGCTAAACAGAGCAGGTCATGCCAGCTTGCGCTGCAGCCTTTTGGCGGTAGGGCAAGGCAGCTGCGGTGCGCCTGTCCTCTTTCAAGCTGCTGATTTTTATGGAACTTTAGGAATGTCATGTCTCTGCAGCTTCCATCTCTGTGTCAAACATGATAGAAATTAGATGATAAGCCCAAAAATTTACCCTGAGGGTTATTTGAGGAAAAACTAGCAGAGTAATCAGTCATTTTTCCTGCAGGAACATGTTTAAAAAGAAAACAACTTTAAAATCTTCCTAGAAACTTGTATGTGGATGGAAAATAGCAGTCGACCAAGCAAGCGTTTCAGACTGCTGTTTCCCTTCCCATGCAGACTCAGCTCCAGATCGACAGATGAGCAGGTTGTGCTGGAGCCAGGGATAACTAAGGGCAAGGAAATGAAGACATGAAGGAGAATAGCACTGTCGAAACAGAGTTTGGGTCGGGAATACTGAGGATGGGAAGGGGGAACAGATGAGGATGCAGATGAAAAGATGATTTCTGAAATGGTTTCCCCACAGACCTCTCAACGCTTGCTGCAGTTTCAGAGAGAGGATGGCTGGCAGGCCTGTGGGAGCCCAGGCTGTCTGCCTGTACCTGCCGGCTGGCACATGGGGCAGCTCAGGAAATATTTTATTAAAATAGAAGATTTGCCTGCTTGGAGGAGCTTTTGGAAGCTTTCAAAGCAACAGCAAGGAGTTCAGATCTTACATTCTCCACTTTGGGCTGCAGAGGTCAAAGTTTGATCTGATGCCAGCAATTTGTTTTCTTTCTTTATTTTTTTTTTTTTTAAAAAAAAGGTCTTTTCTGGACCAGAGTGATATTGATGACTTTTACAGCAAGCAGCTAAAGTAAAATGTCAGCACAACATCTGTGGTGGCTAAGGGAGCCTGTGCTCTCTCGTGGCTCTGGAAGGAGAGCAATATTAAGTTAAAATGGCTCCAGGGCAGAAAAAAAGATGAGCTCACCTAAAATTAGATTAGAGCTCTGGCAGCAATAAATCATTTGGAGAGAAGAATGAGAGCTTTTTGGTATGTTTACTTACCTTTATTTTTTTTCCTTAAGTTCTGGCTTGTATGAGAGCATAAGCAACCCATTTCTCGCAGAAGCCCCATACAGAGCTGTTCATGAACATTTTATAAAAACCTCTGTCATCTGAATTACATTTGTTTTCTGTTCAAGCCAAACTGTGGTATCTGATGGTGTGGTAGCATGGTCAATAAACAGAAATACCTTGATTTTGCTCGGATACAAACCATCGTTGCTGCTCTTCATTATACTGCTTCTGCACCATTCTTATGTCCAGTCCTGTGCAGTGCCAAGTTTTTCAAAGTGCCATTGAGTGGGGCCAGGGTAAAATCAGTGTCTGTCACACCATGCCACGTGTGGGACACCACAGGTGGATTCTTACAGTGTGTTCAGACAGCTGTTCTAAATAACAGAATACTTATTTTTTCAGACTATTTGGGTATGTTGTTAATACTCACTTCTGCACATTATGCTTAAGATTCTATGGAATACTCCGTTCTGCAACCACACAGAAGAAAATAGGAAATATTATTTCTGTGTTCTCATCTAGCAGTACTCTATAAATTGCATATTTAGTATCATCAGTATTTCAGTCTTCAGTAACTATCTCTATATTGATAATTTCAAAATCTTTCAATCCTAGTTATTATGTTTGAATAAAAAAAGAGATATATCGATGATAAATCAGTCATGATCTGTTTTTTGTCATGATAGAGGAGATCAGCAATGTGTTATTTTATATCTGTGTTTCTGTTTTCTTTCATTATAGCAAGTGCTGTGCACTTGGGAGGATTTTTCATCTTTAAAGTGCTTCATAAACATGAACTGGATGAGTACATGAGTATTACTTTGGGATATACAACTGTTTCTATTGCCATTCACAAATGCACAAGCTGCAACAAATTACATTATTTTTTCCTACTTTGGTTTGTTGTTGTATGTCTGCCTTGTGTTTCAGATAATTCCACAGAGCAACAGAAATTTTATGGATAAAATAATATTTAGATTCTTCTTTAGGCCACAGTTCTAAAAGGCAGTTACCTGGGTTGATCACACAGTTGTAAGGTGGAAGTCTGTGGCACGTGTTTTGCATCGGTAATGAAGATCATCTTTTGAGAAGATTAAAGCTAAGTTCTATAGTATTTTGCTGAAAAATCATCCAGCCAAAAGTTTACACTATAATATTTCCAGAGAAAATAAGATGGTATTTGGCATAATTAGATGGTTTTTAATGCCTGCAATTATTGTAATGATTTTTGTAGTTCTCATTCATTTGAGAATCAACAAATGTTGCCATTATGATTTGTTTCAGTGCCCAGATAGCATGGGAAGGCCCAGATTGCACAGGGAATCTCTGCTTTTTCCTAAAAGCAGAATAGTCAGTTGTGTACAGTAGCATCATGGAGAAAAGGAAGTCCTTATGTGAGGAAAGAATATGTCTGAACACTGCCTGGATGTAGACTCCTTTTTTAATAAGAATCCATGGATTTTCTGTAAACAGCTAATGTTTGTCTTGAAGGAAAGGTAATATTTCTGATGGAGTACGGTATTATTAGCCTTTATGGCTTCGAGTAAGGAAAAAGAGGCAATTGTCTCTTTAATGCATCTCTGAAACAAATTTCAAGCCAAGACAAAATGTACCTTAACAGAGCCTATAAATTTGTTTAGGTAGAA